CTGCTCGTTTTCTCTCGGCCGCCTTTCTCATTGCACGTTTTTTTCCCCCCCTTCCCGTAGAGTGCCATTAAGGGGAAATTGCAAGAATTAGGAGCTTATGTTGGTAAGTGTTTTTGTTGTTAGCCTCATATCGTGTAGCGTTTGCAGCTAATTGAATTCTCGTGGTTGTAATTTTGGAGAGAGCCCTTCTGTATCCACCCCCACCCCAATCGTGTTTTACTCCCCTCTGCCCAGTTCCCTCGGCCCCCTTCCAATACGTTGCGTGGAAATTGTTTGGCTGCCACGGTTAAGGCTCGATCATTATTTTTCTTAATGTTTGTCCGTTTTTATTTAGCTCCAGTCCCTTGCCTTTCCTCTGCGACACATCCCTTCAGAGCTATTGTTTGGGGGTTGACCTGGGGGAGCTTCCTGGCATTTTCCCTACTGGTTCAGTGAGTTTTACTTCTCAGATCGGTGTTATTTTCTCCCTACCCCTTTCTCATTCACCTTGTAACAGGAACGTGCCCTGTTCTCCCTGTGGTTTATCATTTGAGTGTTTACTCAGGGCCAGTTACTGTGGGTAACTGTGGTAGGATTCATTTATTTATGGGAATCCCCAGGAGAACTCTGCAAGGTACCAGGTAACAGCCCCGATTGAACAAAGCGAAGAAATAGAGGCCTTTACTCTCTACTTGAGTAAGGTTTGATGATCAAGACCTGGGCCTGTTTAGCACCAAAGCCAGTGCATTCAAGAAAAAGAAGAACTGAGACTTCAATGAGAGCCATTAAAGTGAGGAAGAACCCTCCCCCCTCCCCTGCTGGGTCTCTGAAGCCCAAGCTTTCCTGTAATACCAGGAGGGTCCCAGTCATTTTTCACAGCGCCGACGCTTGGATTGTACGCAGGCAGCAGTGGGTAACTTGTTGGCACCTTAGCCTGAATCAAGATAGTCACATCAGACTCATATTCAAAATCACGTATTTCACTGCCCACGCCCACTCGCAGTTAAAAGAAAAGCCAGTTTCACTCACAAATGTGGTTGATTAAGCAGTAATGGTTTTTTAAACCCCAGCCCTTGACTATAGCTTTTTAATATTCAGCAGGCAGAAATAAGAACTTAGTTCTTCCTGTGCACATAAGGCATTTTACTATCCTGAAGTAGTTTGTCTTGTGGGAAAAATGCTTGCGTGATTGAGTTACGTTGAGAACTGAACTAGCCACGTTTTGAGTGCAGCATTATTTTTCAAAACATTCATTGAGAATACACACAGAAATATACCAATTGATCTATGCATCTACAGTGAGATGATCAATATATCTACAGTGAGATTGATTAGAGCCATTAGGTTGTACAACCATTTTCACTCTCTCAAGTTTTGAATTGTCCCTTCCATTAACATAAACTCACCGCTTGCCAAGTTTTCTCTCTCCTCTTTTGAGTTAATTTAGCTGATTTTAACCCATACACATCTTAACAAGAACAGAGTGTTCAAGGCAGCTGTTCTTGACTAATGAAGCTAAACTTTTGCTTGGGTTAAAGATTATCTCAGGACCTTAATGTTTGGAGTTCTGCCTCACTGGCTCCAGAAGGTCTGGGTTCCACGAGATTTTGAAATTGTGTTTTGCATCTCTTTCAACCAGGATTCTTCTAGGAAATCTTTGATGAAAAACATGGAGCATAATTTTTTTTCTCAGTTTTACTGCCATTTTGTCCACTTGTCATACAATTCAACAGTTCAGTCATATCAAAAAGAATTGTACAGTCATTACTACAGTTGATTTTAGAACATTTTATTATTATGCTCATTGTTATTTGAGTAATTTTTAAAATTGTGGCAAAAATATACACAACAAAAGAAACATCGTTTGTAACTTTCCAGAAGGACTAACCGAGTGCGGTTTTGTGCACTTTGGGATTTGGCAGACAACTTCTTGAAAGTGAGCAAAGGAAAAGAGCATCCTTGCTAGAGACAGAAGTTGAGCTTTCAAATGAAACTTTGGAATTTTGGAAAACTTGTGTCTGCTCCCGTAACCTCAACTGTTTCCCAGTATTAAAAGGCCTTTCTGTTCAAATCAGTATTTTATCGCTGATTGCGATTCTGATAATGACACCTATCAACATGTCCACAGTTTATATAGCTCAGTGAACAAGTATTTTCCAAATAACCCATGCATAGTGTTCCAAAATTCTGTGTGGTCAAAAAATCCCACAAAAGTGCTGGAAAGGGCAGGGGAGTGGTGGAGTTTTTTATTGCTTTTGCAGCTAGCCTTTATGAATAAACTATCACTTGTCAAATTTTAATATAATGCCACAGAAGAATATCTACCTTACCTGAAAAGGCTGCAGAATTCTCTTTTTAAAATGTGAGACCAGATTTTCTTGATGGTTTTGATTAGAGCAACATACCACAACAGATTAAGTGCAGAAGTGACAATGAGAATCCGGCGGTTTTAAGCCAGATTTTAAATTTGTAAAATACAAAATAAAGGCAGCTTTTTGCACTAAGCCTTTTCTCTTTTTAATAAGATTTTCGTAGAACTCATGTTAACAGAATGGGTATGTTGTAAACATGTAGTAGGTACAATGTTTTTAAGCAAACACTTTAGAATCTTTCATTTTAGTGTCTAATGTGGTGTGGTAAGCTTTCATAACTATGACCGATATAAATCAAAGCTCTTTGAAGTTTTAATAATTTCTAAGATTGTAAAAGGGGGCAGGACCAGAAGTTGAAGCAGTATTACTTTATGGCGTATCGGACACATCTCACAGATGACCTGTTACCAGGATTGCTGTAAGGCCTTAATAGAAGAGGAAATTCAGCTCAGAGGTTAAAGAGAAAGCTAAGACAAGAATTTATATGGTCTTTAATTTTTTACATTTGATGAGTGCCACCCTGCTTTGCATCAAAAAGGGAATTCCACAGAAAGCCGACACTAACACGCTTTTTCCCAGTATGAAAGCATAGACGTGTTTGAATCTAAGTGTATGCTGACTGTCATTTATACCAGGAGTTGAGGAGCTGCCTGGGTTAAGTGCTTGGCTGCAAACTGAAGAGGTCAGCAGTTTCTACTCAGCCCGGGCTCTTTCTGTAAAGATTATAGCCCAGAAAACCCTATAGGCAATTCAGCTCGTCACTCGGGGTCACGATGAGTTGAGAGTTGACTCTGAGGGCTAGGGCCACAGTCTGGGGGACAGCTAAGTCAGTTGGTTTAACTTAGTTCGCACATACAGTGTGCGTCTTAAAAGCCATCCCTCAGCCGTCTAAGGTTCAACTACTGGTCTCCCATCTGGAGGACAGAAGATTGAAGACGATTCAAGATTTAAGGAAACAGTGTGGCCAGAGGACTGATGGAGAGCACTTGAATATCAATATCAGCCTTTACATCATTGAGGCTGAAGGAACCACCTGGTGCCTGGCTACTAGGGACCGTTTCAGTCAGGACTACAGAAAGTCCTGGATAGAATGGGAGAAAAATGTAGAACAAAATTCAGAATGAAAAAAGACCAGGCCGACTGGTCTGAGAGCGAAGATGACCTTTAGACATGCTTCTAGTCTGGACCTGAACCACCCCTGGGGATCAGTCTTCCAGCCAAACCACAGACCGGTCTATGGAGTGAACAGTAGCACTTGTGAAGGATTTTCTCCTCAGACCAAAAGGGCAGCATGTGCCCCCCAACAAAGTGCAGAGGTCGATCAGAAAGGAGCAGGAAAGAAGGTGGAAAGTGCACTCTTGCCGTGAGAGAATCGCACTTAATGTTATGAACAAAATGTGTTTAAATTGTGGAATGGAAAACCAAATTACTCTGTAAAATGTTCACCTAGACGGCAACAACAAGACACTCCCTGAAACAAGAACACGCACTTGGATCCTAACAACATTTATACTTGCTACACATGGGTCATTGATTGGAATCGAACCACCAGCAACGCATGCAGCTCTCATTAAAAGTCTCAAACCAGGAATTTTGAGTTTGTTAAAAACATAGTCTAAGATGGAAATGTCACTGTTGTAAAATGTTGCCCTTCATAGTTCTCAAAGCATTTCACATAGCATCGTGTGTTCCTTCCACAATACTGGAATGAGAAAGACAGTATTTTACAAATAAAGAAGTGGAAGTTCGCAGGGCAAAGCAGCTTGGTTGGGAGATGTATAACCAAAGAAAGCAGGTCTCTTGGCCCCTGCTGTCTGTATCATCACAGGAACTTGGTGAGCTGAGGCAGCAGTGGGTAGAAGTCATTTCTGGGTGACTAGCATTCCACTGGCCCTCCCTCAGTAGTACCTCAGCGCAGTTCTTCCATTGGTGCGTCTCTGCACCTGGATCAGATGATTCCTGAGGGCAGAAGCTCCATACTTATGCCCCTGTGGCGCAGCAGAGAGGCTGGTTTCGGGAAGGTTGATTAATATACATTTATATTCAGCTATGTAATTATCTATTTGTACATGTATGAGGGACTTCAAAGAGTTTGTGGAAAAGTTAGTTGTATTTTAAATTCATGTTCCCCCAAACTCTGAAGTTCTCTGTGTGTGTATTGTCCTAGGGGTGGGGGTGGGGGTGGGGAGTGACCTTCTAATCCTTTATGCCCTGACAAATTTTAGGGTTGTTTTGAAAACAGTCCTTCAATAAGTACTTTAAAACCTATTTTCAAGACATTGGATGGGCTACAAAGGTGAACAGTCCTCTTTAGAGATGGTAAGGTCTGTTTATGAGTTTGTCACAAGTGGAGCACTTCAGGAGATGGCTGGTAATTCCAAACAGTCTTTCATTGACATTTTACAAGTATGAGCTAGAAGAAGCTTTCAAACATTTTACTGCCTTTTTCTTTTCAGTATACCGATTTCAAGTGTACCTGAGAAATCTGTAGGACTCTCATGATTTCATTCGGACATTCTGTTACATTCATCTCTCCACCGAGAAAAACCTGAACTTACCTAACCTAACCATTTGACGTTAACTTCATTCTGACTTAGGGTGGCCTCACGTGTTTTAGATAGAATTGCACCTCGAGTTTTCAACAGCTGTGACCATTTGGGAGTAGATGGCCAGGCATTTCTCTTGAGAAACTATTTTAACAGCTGAGTGCTAAACTTTGCACCACCCAAAGATTCTCATCTACTGAGAAAGCAACCTGTTAGCTTCTGACAGCTTTAGTAAAATATAATTGGCATGCAAGAGGCTGCACACATTGAAGGAATAATTTGGGTATGTTTTGACGTGGATGCGCATGTGTGAAACCATCACTAGAGTCAAGATATCGTGTCCATCTTTTCCTTGTTTCCCAGAGGGTCTTTGTGTTCCATCCTCTTCCCTTCCCAGGACCGACTTTGTACCCCTTTATTTTAACATTTTAGAGATAGTAAATGAATACATGGTGACCATAGTCTGTCTGTCTGCCCCACTGACAGTATAAGGGAGAAAAACAGCCAGGGCAGCCAGAATACCCAAGTGACCTATTGGTTTTTACCTGAATTAACTCATGGCACATGGTTGATACGTAAATCATAACTTAATTCAGCTACTGGGCTCATGTATCAAAATTGCCAGAAAGCTTTGGGAGCCCTTTCATAAAATCTACATAGTAATGATTGGGTGCTCATCCTTACTGGTGGTTTTGTACTTCACAATCTTTGCTTCCGTCCATTGTTCTGATTTCGCTCTTTCCTTTCATAGATTGGGCCTTCTCAAAATATTTGTGCTATCTTCTAAAACTGGATTTTTGATACTTCTCCTTGAAACACAGATCTGATAGTGCTTCTGATGTGAACCTTTCTGCCTACATAGAAATATTAAGAGTATGTAAGGTTTTAAAGAGCTCTAAAGGTTTTTAATTTGGGGTGGGAGTTAGAGTCCTGACCCAAGGCTTGAGCTGCCTTATCTTTTTACTGTAGTGGTTTGTTGCTGTAAATGTTGCCTGTTGGCTTCTAGATCTCATTCTTTATCCCTGGTGTACAGGGAAAACAGTGAATCCAGTTGAGATGATCTGATTAACTCTGAGGTTCGATTCTTTAAATGATGTAAACCTTTAGGGTGGTGTTTGTTTGCTGCTGCTGCTGGTTTCCTCCCTTGAGTAATTGATAACAACCTTAGGAAAGGATCGAGATTTTCTCTTGAGAAATGAGTAACCTTTTGAAACATTAAAAATAAATGATAAACTAAGCAAATCTCAGGTAGTCTTTTTAGGTCAAGATGAGCTACTTGCTGAAAGTATCCTGAAATTCCTGAGCAGTAGGAACAGTCCTTTCATGGAAGGGACTGCCCTCTCAAATCTGATTCTGTAATTTAGCTGGTCTGGCGCTGAGGTGCTGCTTAGTTACTCACAGTTCCCCTTCTAGCCACTGAAAGACAAGGAGTGAAGAGAGAAAAGTCCGAGCTTCGTATTTGTGTCCAACCTAATTTCATTAGCGCTGAGAGAGTGGTTCTTTTTAGACCTGTGTCTATATTTTCATGCACATCAACTTTAATTAGAAGCCAATATTGAAGAAAATATAAAAACGTTTTGGTATACTCTTCCTTTTAAATAGATGAAGAACTTCCTGATTACATTATGGTGATGGTGGCCAACAAGAAAAGTCAGGACCAAATGACAGAGGACCTGTCCCTGTTTCTAGGGAACAACACAATTCGATTCACCGTATGGTATGTTTCTGACTCTCTATGCCTCAGACCAAAATTTGGGACAAGCCAGAGTAGACATTCTATATGAAAACAGTTACTTGACAGGCGAGTTCAGTTCAGTGTGAGCAGCCTGGCTGTCAGTGGTGGTGCCAGACAGCCCTAGATTACAACTGGCTCTGCTGCTTGCTTCAGTTTCCCCACCTGGAAAACGGAGAATGTGAAACTC